TCCTTGGAAGTGCCATTGGGATCCCTGGAAGTGTCCTTGGGATCCTCGGTGGTTCCGTTGGGATGTGGTTCCGTTGTGTGGTTGCCCTGGGAAGCTCAGGAATGCCCTGGGAAGTTCGGGAATGCCGTGGGGATCCCCGGTGCCGGTGGCAGCTCCCTCATTCCCGTCCCGTTGCTTCCCAGTCCGGCAGTTCCTGGAGAGCGGGATCAGCCCTGACCTGTGCAACGAGGACGGACTGACGGCCCTGCACCAGGTAACGGGATCAGCCCCGGGAATTCTGCCGGGAATTCTGCTCTCCAGCCTTCCCAGCCCGGCCCTGGCCCCTGATCCCAAATCCCAGTGATCCCAGATCCAAGTCCTTCCCACCCTGTTAACCAGTGATCCCAGATCCTGGTGTTCCCAGATCCAAGTCCATCCCATCCTGTTAACCAGTGATCCCAGATCCTGGTGTTCCCAGATCCAAGTCCTTCCCATCCCATTATCCAGTGATCCCAGATCCTGGTGTTCCCAGATTCGAATCCTTCCTATCCCATTAACCAGTGGTGCCACATCCCAGTGTCCCAGATCCAGGGCCTTCCCATCCCATCTCCATCAGGTGATCCCGAATCCCAGTGTCCCAGATCCAAGTCCTTCCCACTCCATCTCCATCCGGTGATCCCAAATCCCAGTGTCCCAGCTCTGGGTCCTTCCCATCCCATTAATTTGCAGTGCTGGATCCCAGTGTCCCAGATGATCCAGGTCCTTCCCATCCCATTAACCAGTGGTGCCATATCCCAGTGTCCCAGATCCAGGACCTTCCCATCCCATTTCCATCCAGTGATCCTGAATCCCAGTGTCCCAGCTCTGAGTCCTTCCCATCCCATTAACTGGAGTCCCAGTGTCCCAGATCCAGGTCCTTCCCATCCCTTCTCCATCTGGTGATCCCAAATCCCAGTGTCCCAGATACAGGTCCTTCCCATCCTGAATCCCAGCATCCCAGATCCAGGTCCTTCCCATCCCATCTCCATCCAGTGATCCCGAATCCCAGTATCCTGGCTCCCCATCCTTCCCATCCCATCCCATCCCATCCCATCCTTCCCATCCCATCCCATCCCACCAACACATCCCACACCGTCACCCCCCTCCCGCCTCCATCCCAGGCTATCCCACGGCATTCCCGGCCCATCCCAACCTTTCCCATTCCCAGTGCTGCATCGACGACTCCGTCCCCGTGGTGTCCGTGCTCCTGGACTCCGGCGCCGACGTGAATTCCCGGGACACGGAGCTGTGGACGCCCCTCCACGCCGCCGCCACCTGCGGCCACCTCCGCCTGGTCCAGCTGCTCGTCCGACGGTACCGCGGGAATTCCGGGATCGGGATGGGCCCCTGGGACACCTCAGGGAATTCCTGACCCTGGGAATTGTCCCGGCACAGCGGCGCCGACCTGCTGGCCGTGAATTCCGACGGGAACATGCCCTACGACCTCTGCGAGGACGAGGCCACCCTGGATTTTCTGGAGAGCGCCATGGCCGAGCAGGGTGAGGGAAAACCGGGAATAACAACGGGAATAACAATGGGAATAATGGGCGCCATGGCCGAGCAGGGTGAGGGAAAACCGGGAATAACAACGGGAATAACAACGGGAATAATGGGTGCCATGGCCGAGCAGGGTGAGGGGAAACTGGGAATAAATAACGGGAATAACAACGGGAATAATGGGAATAATGGCCGAGCAGGGTGAGGGAAAACCCGGGAATAAATAACGGGAATAACGGGAATAATGGGAATAAGGGGCACCATGGCCGAGCAGGGTGAGGGAAAACCGGGAATAAATAATGGGAATAACAGGAATAATGGGAATAACGGGCACCATGGCCGAGCAGGGTG